CACCCCGGCCGGCGCTGATGGGGCCGCAAGCCTTAAGCTGCTCTCTTCTTCCGGGGGGGCTTCTCCTGGCTCCCAGCCGCGGGGAAGCCCTGAAGCCACCTCACGCTGTAATCTTGGTGGATCTTTGTGACGGCGTGGGGGATATTTGGGGAAGAAGGCGTTGAAGTTTTGGTGCCTTGTGTCGCTGTGGGCCCTTCTGTCGAGTGCTCGGTTTGGGCTTATGTAATCTGAAAATCGGGGGGTTCAAACCTCTAAAATATTTTCCACATAAAGAAAGACTCATGAGAAAGTGTTTGGCTACGTGTTATGACAGTAAACATCCTGTTGCAATGATTGATGTTGCTATAAGTAGACTTCCCATCTCTAAATGTCTACTGGAGAATGTAATACTTGCCAGGCCCCAAGTGCTGAGTCTTCCGTGTGTTGGCACAACACTAGAATTTCTGTGGAGAAACTTGGATGAAAGCATTCAAGGAGGAGTCGGATATGATAATGATATAATCATGGGAATGATTATGCCTACTTATTATAGGGTAATCGTAAACCCTAATCTGACCTTGCTATTTTTCAGCTACTGCATGACCCTTGATTTAGAATTAGATCACCATGGGGTCGGGCACCTGACCTACTGGAGCGTATTTTGGTATTTGAGGAACTAGAGAGCAAATAGGCTGGGGGTCAAGATATTATGTGGTGATACAGTTTTATCGCAGGGTTTAAGGCCTAAGGAATATAGTCGTTACTTGTAATTTTATGCTCTACTGGCATAGCATCCTTGCATGCAATGGGATGCGTGTTTTGGAAGCAGGCAGCAGGGACAGCATTAAGAAAGAAGCTCAGAGATCTCAATAGCTGAAAGCAGTAAAAAAAGTCTCTCTCTGAAGAATTTACAGGACTTGATGCCCCAAGCCCCAGCATACCACCATCATGTCGGGCACTGTGTCCATTCTCCAACAATTTGCCAATGGCTTGAAGAGTCGCAGTGAAGAGACAAGGGCGAAAGCTGCCAAGGACTTGCAGCATTATGTCACCATGGAGCTCCGTGAAGTGAGTGCTGCAAATGAGATAATTTATTCTTGTTTATCATATGAGTGTAGGGCACGGGCTGGGTACTTTGGGGATGGAGATTTTTGGAATGTGGAAGCTGGTCTTAGAGAGGAGGTGGGGCATAGCAGGGAGCTTACCTTTGCCCCAGCATGTAGGAGAGGTTGAGTGAGTTGGTGACACAGGAGGGTGGTCAAGCACCAGAATAAATAAACTTGACACATCGAGGGCACAAAGAAGAGACTGTTTTCTGTTTGTAATGTGTAGTTGATTTAATTTCTTTCTGTTTAAGTGACCTAAGAAGCATTGTCTTTATGGAGGTTTTGGGGGCAGGAAGGAAGGAA